AGGATCAGTAATGTATCCATGCTAATACATCTGGGGAATGTCAGAGTCGGCCCTTAAACCAGGACTGACTACAGAACGCAACCCTGATCCATGCGGTGGCGTTCTCCTGTGACAGTGACATGGCCAACAGAGGGTTTCCGTTTCACTGCAGACGATGGGCCATTGGACCGCTGCCGAACCTGTTTGTTCTCCTCTGTGGCTTCACCGCTCAGAAGCTGGCACGTGGTGCAGAGGGCGAGGGAAAGCCAGCTGGGGAGACGCCAGTTCCTGGGCAAGCAGGTCAGTGGCACGGACCCAGCTCTCTGGGTTTCAGTGTTGCTATAGCTGTAAGATTTCACGGGAAACTGTCTCTTTAATATGTGTGTGTGTGTGTTGGGGGGGGGTCATCTTTTAGAGAGGCAGAAAGGGACTTCAGTTACATTTTTGATAGTTTTTTTTTTTTTTAACCTGACTTTCCCAGAAAAAGCCTTACAAAAGTAATTCCCTCACTCTCAGTAACTTGGTATGCCCATGATAGATGGAGACAACAATAAAAAAAATAGCCTGGACCACAAGGTAAATCCCATATGAGCTCAAAGGCTGTCCAGAAGGATGTGCAATGTTAACAGTGGTTATTCCTGGATGATGGGGCTGAGGAGGACTTCTTTTTCTACGTCTCAGTGTTTTACTGACTGTGGGGTGTTACTTTGAAATGGGAAAAGGGAAACAACTTCCTTTAATATAAAAACAATGCACTTCAAAACCTTACCTGTTCACTCCACGCAGACCTGGATCTATTATACATAGGCCTTTGGTGTTCACACTTTGGGCCCTGGACGGTTTAATTTTACCACACCGAGAGAAGAGCCACGTCTTCACTTTAAATGCCAAGGACAGTTTTTGAGATTGTTAGTCTCCTTTTAAATGGCACAGAAAAGATAGAAGGAGGTAGTTTATGTTGGGCTTATGAATAGGACCCATCTGGACCAACAAACACTTTTCTTCCAATACTGTCCCATGGCTTTTCTTTGCTCCTTTACACAATGTATACATTGTACTAGAAGCCCAGCGCATGGAATTCGTGTGTGGGTACGATCCCTAGGCGTAGCCTGCGATCAGGGTCATCTTCCCTGGCTGCTGGCAGCCAGCCTTGCCCCCCGCACCACCACCACCACCCACCCGGGTACCCAGTTTGCCATCAGGAGATCGGAGCCTGTGGGCCAGGGGGAGGGACCAAGAAGTTGGCCATTCCCATCTGCTCACCGGCCCCACCCATGGTGTGGGTTGCCCTCTGTGTGTGGAGCAACCAGTGGGGCAGGGGCCTTGGCCTGGTGCTACTCACATCCCTCGCCACCCACCCTCTGGTCCCTGTTCACCATCAGGCGATGGGAGCCTGCCGGCAGGAGAAAAGGCCAAGAGGTGGTCAATGCATCTCATAGTGACTGGTCGAGTAGTTGTTCTGGTAGTTCTGCCATTATGGTCACTGGGCTTTTATTATATAGAATATTTTAAGCATGCACATGCACTACTTTTTAAAAGAATCTTTATTTTGAAAGTATTACATATGTCTTTTTTTCTTCCCCCATTGACCGCCTCCAACAATGCACTACTTTCAATACTGCAGAGTTAATATTTTAAAGTTTGTATTTCCAACCTAGTTTAATTTCTGTTTATTTTTTGTTGTTTTTTATTTGTTTGGTGTGGGGTTTTGTTTGTTTGTTTGTTTTTAGTTTAATTTCTGTATCTGAAGATTTGGGGCTGCTTTACTTCTCAAGGAAATGTGGTGCACCTGTCGTTCTGGCTTCTGGCTTTTTATTCCTGCCTCAGCCAATCAGGTTCAATGCTACGGCTTAGATGTCATTGGTTATTGCTTCTGAGCCCACATGGTTGATATTGGGTAGTTTGTATTTTGTTACTGAGAGTATTTACACAAAGAACACATTCTGTTATTTCCCACACCTTCCAGTGCCCCTTCTGTAAGAAGTAAACGAGGAAGAATCAGCCTCACAAGGGTATTCTTTGCCCTGGTTTTATTTTCATTCTGTGGTGGACTCACTCCCCAGTTCCAACGGCCTTCTCACTCTTACAGTCCTCAGGTAAGACCCACGTTTTGAAACGGGGGAACAATAAGGGATGTGCATTGAGTGAATTAGGAAATAAAGTTTCCCTTTATGCCATCTTTAGGAAAGAGGCTCAGAAAAACAGAGCACACACTTCATTTGTCCTTATGCTGTGAGACCTCTGTTTCCAGATGTCTGTAAAGATAGTTATGCGAAATAAACACCCATAGTTGAAATACAAACACTATATTGTGCAAATACTGAAACCTGCTTTGCTAAAATACAGGTTGTTTCTAACCATATCAGAGCTGTGTTTTACAACTAATGACAGGTTCCAAAAAATATAAAGTTTCACCTTCTGATCTTAATATGCCCTGGTATTCCTATCTTGTGAAGTGGTTGTAGCGAGATTAGACAAAATCTCATCCTGGGGCTTGACTAGGGTTCAGGGCATTCTTATTTGGAATTAAAAGGTAATCTCTCCCCCACCCCCACCCCCACCTTTAATATAGAAAGCACCCATTTACTTTGAAAGCCAACGCTTGGTTAAGGTTAATTTGCTTCTTATTCCATGGTTGATCTAGATTAAGACAAATAGCAACTGTTCTGTGTGTTTGTTCTGTCCTTTCCTTCACTCTCTACTGAATATGTGGCTGGCTTTCTTTATTAGCAATCTAGCTAGGCACAATAACAATCATATTTCTGTTTCTGGCCCCTAAATTAATGAATGAGCTGCAAATAAGTAATCTTGAGAAAATAGGGTTACCTTCGTTTTAATAACAAAGTTTTCAATGAGCTCTTCAAAAACAGGGTTTGCTAAGACCTGCTGAAGGTATAACTAGATTTGCTAAAAAAACAGTTAATACTGCATTTGGGTTAAATGGACAACTACATACTCTACTGTGTTAAAAGTGTTAGAGACACAAGAACTGAATAAAAATCCCTTGTATTTTTCTTTTCTCGTCTTTCTTGTTGTGGTGGTTTGTTTGTTTGTTTGTTTGTTTAAGAACCTGCTCTTGGGAAACTGAGGGCAGCATCTCCTCACATTCACAGTCTGGTATTCGGGATTCTGGCTTGGAGAGACTAGTGCTTTTCCTCCATGTTATGATGTCTTTGTTTACATGCGGTAACAGGGTCTGCTTCGTATGCATGTGAGGGAGATAGATATATTTGAACTAATGCATTAGTGAAATAGATTATTATAGTAAAGGAAAAATGACACAAACTGAAGACACAGAGTCCGCATTTTCTGAAATACCTGAAGTTGAGAGCAGAGTCACCAGGGGTATAACATTTAGATTGTGCATCATAATCATAAGCCCTGGTGATTGGATCTTAGCAGAACGGACAGTATTGCATTCTGGGGAGTTTCACTGAATAAAAAAAAAGGAGAAGAGTTTTTAAAAAATACTTTTGAAGGGATAAGCAAATGAAGAAACAGGAAGCAGCACATGAAAAGATTTCAGGGGAAGACTTCATAGCCTGTACCTGGGTCCATGCTTCTGACACTCAGATGAGATCCTTCCCGCCTACCCAGTCCTCAGCCTCAGGAGTGGGGGATTTTGGGAAGCTCGAGGGCAGTTCCACCGTGAGGCAGACCCTCTGGGTGAGCGGGAGGGGGGGGGGGGTGTTGCAGGTTACCTACCCTGGTCCATACAGGGACTCCAGCTTGGCAAGCAGTTCCCTTTTAATAGTAAATGAGCCTCTTTAGAACTAAGAGCATACTGAAACTTCTGTGAACGGCCAAGTTAAATGTTTTCTTATGGAGATGCAACGGTCTGGATAACAAAAACAACACACTGGGGAACTGCCCCCCAACCAAAAGGTCGGAAGGAAAAAGAGCAGGAAACTGAGTGACTGAAATGTCTATACAGAGGCTGTGTGTTCACCAGTGAAATACCCTTCCCTCTAGTACTCAGGTTCAAAGCCCTCTGAGGATAACAGGTTTCCTTAGCCATCGGAGAGCCTCAGACCATGCCGCTCACATGGAAAAGTGGAAGGATAAGACACGCCCTCATGGATCAGCTTTCTGTGATTCCGGCAGGAGCTACTCTGTGATAAAAACACGTCAAAAAATATGTAAGCGTGCAGATAGGTATGAGGACAGGGTGGTTAGGATGTCTCCCTCCTTAGTCAGGAGCTCCTGGGTAACTTCAGGAACGCCGCTGTGCGTTGCCTGGGGAGCGTCAGCCCTGCTCCTCAGGAGGAATGTGAACTCTGCCCATTACATGTGCTGCAATGTGTCCGGGCACTCTTGTGTGGATGGCATGGAGAGTGATTTTCCTGATTCTACAGTGGACGGACTTCGCAAATAAGTCATCCTGCTACTCCCCCGTGAAAATTCGATAATGGATTGAGGGGTGACCATGAAGGAAGAAGTTTACGTAATATTACATTTTGGTCTCTAGGTGGAGAGAACAAGCACCAGGTTTCTCTGTGAATCTAAAGCGAATTGGGTTCTCAAGTCTTATCCTACCTTTCTAACTAAAGACAAAACTGGCCTGGTGCTAGTGCTGTTTTCCATAGCAAAGAACTCTCCTTGCCACTGTTTTATTTAAAACCCAGCCCTAAACCACAGCCCAATTTACCTGCTGTCACTTGTCCACATAAAGACTTCTCACAGCCAGCAAAGCAGCTTGAATAAAAGGCTCTTCAGAGAAAGAAGCCTAACCCCCTACAGAAGAATTCTTCCCAGCTGTTCTTTCGAAATAAACTTCTAAATCTATTTCAAACCAAGTAGTTTCTAATATTTTCCACATATTATCAACAGCTGCAAATCCAAGATATTGAAGAGACAAGTATATTAGAATGTGGCCCTCACCATCTGTCTAAAGCCGGCTGACAAGGGTTATAGTCACAAGCCATGCTTTTGTGAGTGGATTCAACATGAACTCCTCTCCACAAAGGCAACATGTGGAGAAGCTGATTCTCAAGGCCTCCGAAGTGGCATCGGAGCTCCCCTCAAGCATTGAGAAGTTCGTCATCCGAGTGTCCAATGGCATCTGGGTTTGAAAGCGGATCCATGTCTGCAAACAGGTTGAACCAGGCTGACATGCCTTGGTTTCCATTGCTGGAAGCTATTAAAAACACACACACATGTTAGCGAGTCTCAAAATCATGTTATTGTACCACTTTCATTATTTTAAAGTAGATGCTCCTTTTGAATAAAAAAAAAAAAATTAAGGCAACTGATAAGACTAATCAATTACACTCCCTGAGGATAATTTTGACAAACTAATGCAGAGAGCTATTCTTTGCTGAGGCTCTGATATCTGAGTGATTGCATGCTGCTCTGAGAAAGGCCTGATTAGAAGTGCAAAGGCAGCAGTAGTCAAGCCTTCTGTGGTAGGTTTTCCCGGTGGCAGATGATTGCTACAATGAGTGGGGTGATCACATTGTAAGGTATAAAAATGTCAAGTCACTTTACTGTACACCTGAAACTAATATTACCAACTACTCTTAAGTGAAAATTTTAATTGAAAACTTGCACACACAAAAAAAGAATGAATACCTGAATTGAGCCCTCACTAAAATTGAAATAAGGAGCATTCTAGTAAAAACAAAAAAGAGTAGAACAGAGGGACAACATTCTATTAAAAAGCCCACATCCAAACATTTTTTAAAAGCTGTGTAACTGTTTCAGATTAAATAGGTTAGAGACAAGTGACGTGGCAAATGAATACAATACATAACCCTGGACTTGCTCTACCAGAGAGGGAAGTGCTACAAAGGCCATTACTGGGCCAACTCACCAAACTGGAACACAACATGGTAGATTACAGAAAAGTATTATCTTAAAATGAAGTCTCCCAAAGTTTATAATCATACTTGTTTGTGCAAAACAATATACCTGTCCTTAGGAAACACAAATTGAAGTATCTACGGGTAAATGGTCATGATGTATGTAACTTACCCTCAATTGGTTCAGAAATAAATAACCCAGAGAGGCCTCCATTAAGCGAATGGGGTAAAGCACTAACAATGGGCGAATCTGAGTAATGGGTATACACGTGTTCTTTGTGGTATTTTCATTTATGCAACATAAATACGCTTGAAATTCTCTCCAATTAAAAAAGCTTTAAGAAATCAACATCAGTGACTAAGATTAATATGTATCTAAAATTCTGCAAGACAGAATGTGTCTGTTTTCTATGTATACCCATATGGTAATTATAACATGGATAAGTCCTGCAGACACCAATATGTAAGTATGCAATATGTTAGCAATTACTATGTACCAAGCCCTCTGCTAGTGAGACCTTATTTGTCAACAGGCATCCTGTAATCAAAGAGCACCTTCTGTCCCCAGGGGTATTATCCATTATCAATGAGCCTTCACACCAAAAAGAAAAGATTACAGAACTTAGTTTACCAGGGCAAGATCACCAATTTCTATTTAGTTATTTCTATGGTGAGTGGTATTCAGTACAGGTTTCATTATAAAGTATTACTTTATTAATTTATATTTATAAAATATTTTTCTGGATACATTTTCTAAATTTATCTGAATTCAACTAAGTGTTAATATGATAGCAAAGACTCACCTTTTGTTGATTTCTTTGGACTCTGTGAAGACACTGGCTGATTATCAGTGTGTGAGAGAGGTTCAGATCCCCCTCTGGAGGCCCAGGCTGGGGGGAGGAAAGAAAAGAGTTTGTCCATTGCTAATCAAATAGGAAGTAGCATCCAAAAAACAAGAAAAGGTAAAAATATCTAATAAGTCCTCCAGTCTTCATACCAGGGTAAGATTCTACAATATAGGAAGCATAAAACACTTAGAATTTATCTGTAATTATGTATTTTATTCAAATAATATGTTTAGTCCCAGCCAGATTTAGACTAGACTTCCTTACATTTTTCAAAGTGCTTTTGAAATAAAATCACGTGCTACATAATGACAATTGTGTAGACCCCATGTACCACAGTGGTCCCATCTACACTAATAAAAGAGTAAGATGCAAATTGACGGCACCTTTGTGATGCCCACCAGCCAATCAGGAGTGAATATGCAAATTAATCCAACAAAAAGGTTGCCGGTTAATTTGCATATGCAGGTGTTCCACACTGCCCCAGCCACTCCAGGCTTCTGGGCAGCATGGGAAGGTGAAAAGGTGGCTCCCAGCCAGAGCAAAGGCGGTGCCAGCAGCCAGGGGAAGGAAAGGCCCATTCTTGAACAAATCTTCATGCATCGGGCCTCTAGTAACATTATAATGGAACTGAAAGATTCATATTGTCTGCTTTTTGGAGAGAGAACTGGAAGATGCATGGAGGATGGAGGAGGGTTTGGGAGATCTGTGAGGAAGACTGTTAACAGAATCCCAAGAAGCCAAATGAACCTCTAAGGGGCGCTGGTAGCGGAGGCAGAGAGGACAGTGGGAAATTTAAGACATGTTTCAGAAAGAGAACAGACAGGACTTAGCAACCAATATGGAAGTGGGGAGCAAAGTGACCCCAAGGACACAGGATGGTGGAACCGCGTGAGTAGACGAGTTCTCAACATATAAACAAGCAGGTGACCCTTTCCTCAGGAAAACCCCGCCCCCAGCTCTCTGCTGCCATCCCACATCGCAGGCTTCCAGCAAGGCTGCCATAGAGCCAGCCTCCAGAGCTGCGAGCCCACAGAAAGCATGCACACCAAGCTTTGAAGATACCACCTGCCTGCCAATGACTTAGCAGGTCAAGATTTTCAGACAAGACCCTGGTTTTCCATGTAGAGAAGACACCTGGTAAAGTCGCTGAAGAAAATGTGGAGGGGGCAGGAAAGAAAGCAGCCCCTGTTTCACTCTTGTGGACAGACTCCAGTGGTGGCCTATTTGTTACTTTTCCAGCTGGCTGGTGTGACTGCAGATTCCGCCTAGTAGTACTGAAGCTAACTGAAATCAATCTTAGTGACTTTAGCAGAACGGTTTGTTTCACAAAGATCAAATAAGTCACGGGGGTCCAAATGTCAGAGACACTCACTGTTGGAGGCTCCAGCAGCATGAAGGCCAAGGTCGAAGAGACGGGAAGGAAGGAATCGTTGGGAGTGAGCAAGAGGCTCGGACCCCACGGAAGGCTCCTGGAACGTGAGGCTCCCAAAGGCAGGCTGGCTTTCTTGAGTAAATTCACTAGAACTCAAAGAAGCAGGACTTAGGAGGTTGTTCAGAAATGAGAATTCCTTCTCAAAATCATCTTCCAGTGTATCTCCAGGTAAATCTTTTGCAACTGTTTAGTGACAATAAAAACAGAATGGCTTTTTTCTTTTTGAAGGAAAGAGAGTAGGATGTAGAGAAAGCCAAATTTGTCTCATTGCGCTCATATTTTATTAGCATAATTTTAATAAACTGATAGGAATTTATATAAAAATTATTTCTAATTACATCAAAATGACCATATTTCACAATGCAGGTTTAACAGTTATGCACATCTACATGTAAAATAATTAACCAACCACCTATGTAAGATAGACTACAGGAGATGCAAGGAGAATACAGATTAATATTAGGAGACTTAAATATATTACTCAGAAAAAAATAGACCAAGAAGAGAAAAGATCTAAACAGCATAATCAATTAAGGTAGTTGTTTTAAATATATATAAACCCTAATAGAAACTATACCTTCTTCTTATGTGCACTTTGAAATTCATAAAAATTAATTATACTAAGGTGCAAAAATCAGTGGCTTTCGTAAAGTAGAAATATTACAAACAACATGCTCTGATTATAACGCAATAAAATAAAATCATTTTAAAAATGAAACCAAAAAACTAAAAGACTCTTCCACCTGTAAATTTTAATACGTTCTATTAAGTCTTGGTTCCAAGTGGAATGGAATTTCTGAAAAATAATGATAAAGAAGACATTTTATATGACAGGGAGGGGCAAAAGTAGGTTTACAGTTGTTCATGTGGAAAATAATACAATAATTAATAAATAATGACAAGAATAAAATTTTATTTTATTTTATTTAAAAATATATTTTATTGATTTTTGTACAGAGAGGAAGGGAGAGAGATAAGAGAGTTAGAAACATCGATGAGAGAGAGTCATCGATCAGCCGCCTCTTGCATACCCCCTACTGGGGATGTGCCCGCAACCAAGGTACATGCCCTCGACCGGAATCAAACCCGGGACCCTTCAGTCCCAAGCCAATGCTCTATCCATTGAGCCAAACCGGTCTCAGCAAGAATAAAATTTTATTTTATATACAACTGTAAACCTACTTTTGCCATACCCTGTATAATCCATGGGATACTTAAATAGCAATTAACAGAGGAAAAAATCCTGACCCTAAACACCTTTATTAAATAAAAAGAAAAAGAGGGTTTTCCAGCATGATACTGAGGAGGTCTATAGATCTGCACACCAGTTTTTAAATAGTGGGAATTATTTTTTAAATAACTATTTAAAATTCTCTAGAACTTGTTCCAAAAGCACACATCAAATGAAGAAAAATTTATTCAAAAAAATAAATTAAAATTCAGAACGAGTGAGAGACTGCCTCATGGGTCCACACTCAATCACCAGGCCACGCTGGCTGGGCAGCATATTAATTATTAATTAACAATACTGTATTATTGTTACATGTGGCTACTAAGAGAGTACATCTTAAATGTTCCTACCCTCAAAATAAATATGGTAACTGTGAGAGCTGATAGATGTGTTTGCCCAATCTTATGATGATAATATTTTTGCGATATCTACATAATTATTACAGTATACACCTTAAACTTACACAGTACTACAACTCAAAAAGCTAGAAAAAAATAAAGCTAACTCAAAAGTATTTGTACGCAAGAGGTTTGTAACGTGACGTAGGGGAGAGGTTTCCACAGACTGGGTGAATAAGGTGAAGGGACGGAGAAGTACAAACTGGTTACAGAACAGGCCGGAGACGTGCAGTCCAGCAGGGGGAGGACAGCCAGTACCACACAGCGAATAATGTCGCGCTGACTTCGTACGATAACGTCGCGCTTCACTTGTCAGTTTTAAGTAAACCTGTGACAGTTTTGACATTTAAAATGTGATCGTTTCACATCTTAATGAATTTACCATCTTACCTGATTCACTTCTCAAGCTCACTTCCTCATCTGACAAAACTAACCTAAAGTGAAAACCAAAAAATGTCAAGATTTTGGTTAAAATACATTTGGGACTCATATTCCACAGTTTTACGTGTGAGTGTGTGTGTATGTGTGTGTGTGTGTGTGTGTGTGTGTGTGTGTGTGTGTGTGTATGTGTGTGTTTTCAATTTTAAACTGGCTGTCCGGTAGATCTCTTAAAATCGGTCTCAGACAAATCCTGTTTCTCTATATGCACACAGACTGTGAATATAACCTTTCACCCTCATTCATTCCATAAACATTTACTGAGTATCAACAAAGCGCCAGGTACATGCTCAGCTCTGCAGGCGCCAGGCTAGTGCTGTATTAAAGAAAGCATCCGTCACCAGGGCCACTAAGTATAAAGTTTAGCTTTCAAGCACTGAAGGGTTTTGTTCAACCTCATGTGGGAACTAAAGAGAGGGAACAAAAAACTATAGAAAAAAATGGAGTACTCCAATTTGAACAACAAAGCAATGGTTGCAAGATAAAACATTTACCTAAAATATTGTCAACCCATGCCAATTTTGAATATTTATATCCTCTATCTGGTGATTTAACATATGATTTTAAATGTCAATGCAAAAGTGAAGTTTAATTTATAACTATATATTTAATTATTTAATCTAGATCCTAATATGTTAATAAATTCAAGTTAGCCAAAAAATTTGTTTCCCCACAGAGAAAAGAGGGAAATGCTTATGTTACAGACACCCTTCCACTCAACAGAAAATGGTTTGTGATTGTTGAGGCCTGGTTTCAGGGTCCCTCACTATACTCAGTGCAATCTGGTTAACATGGGAGGTGAGGGGCAGCTCTGAAAGGAAAACACAGTGAAGGTACAATGGCGGGGAGATGGGCAACAGGAGGGGGTGCACAGCCCGGCCCCCCTGGCCAGGGATCCAGGCCCCCCAGGTCCAGCCGTGTAAGGTGAGGGCTGACTTTCAGTAGCTTCTGTCCTCAGTGCGGCGGGCACCTGTCCCTGCCTTGTGCAAGCTGCCCCTTCTGGGAATCACTGGGTGGAGAGTCTTATGCAAGGCTCAGTCTCCTCCCAAACTATAGAGCTTGGCGTTACCCGCCCACTCTGTTCTGTACTCCTGTCTTTGACTTGGCCCTCCATCTTAAAAGTGAGAGGAAAAAATAAGGCTTCGAAACAAATTTTTCATGTTCCCTGGAGAAAGGACGTAGAAATGAGTATTTGGTAAGCCGGAGAAGAAAAAACTCCCAGCATACCAGGGTGTCCAGGGCTTCCGTGATCGACATGTAACGGTGACTGCTTACCTGCTGAGGGGTTCAGGGAATGGACTGCCTTCTACCTGTTCTTCCTTGTGGTCTCCCTCAGGTGTGCTCGAAGTGTCTTGGAGCTGCTAAGGATAGGAAACCCCATTTAAGTAGGTGAAGAGAGTCCCAGGAATATACAGTTGCAGCATGTGAATGCATCACAGATGCCATGTCTAGCAGACCTACCAACAACATTTTCAGGTTCCACTGAAAATAAGGCAGGGGGGTGAATTCAAAGGCGCTGAACCCTAACCTAGCAACGGGGTAGTAAGCCAGCTGCAAAGAAGGTGGACAGGAGGATATTTATTCTAATCACAGGCTGAGGGTACCCTTATCTTAGGGGTCACAGAAAGAGCTGGTCTAATGCAGTGGTCTCCTCAGCTGCCAGCACACATCTTTAATAACTGGCATAAGTTTTCTATCGTGAATCACATCTAAGATCTGAGTGTGAAAAGAAAGCAAGAGATGTTTTATTTAACCTATAAAACTGTCAGGTCCTCCGGTCATTTTATTTGAACCATACTCTTAAGTTTTTACTTTCCATAACCTTTTATCTCTTTTGCGTTTTATTTTTCTTTTCACATCCTACCTCTTTTTATTACCTCCTACTATTATGTTGAGCCAACCAGCAATATTACCAAATATTTTTTTTTTTATATATATTGCTGATACATTTGGAATCAGGGAAGTGCGGAAAAATGACTGGCTGAAGGAGTGTAAAAAATGTTTCCCAGTGTTTTGTAAATTTGAAATTAGGCTTGAAAATAAATTTCCAAGTTATTACCCAAAGTGGAACATACCTAACAAAAGAACCTGGAAAGAAACGTACCTTGAGGGCCACAAAGCCATACGGGTGTGAGCCAGTGCAGGCCCCGTGGATTTGGGACATCACCCGGGCTGTTTTCTCCCAGAATCCCAGCAGCGTTCTCTGCAGAGAGAGAAAAGGCGACGTCACAGCGCTGCTTCCTCCCGTGACTTGTTTCCTGACTTGTTTCCGTGCCGTTTTTCCTCGCTAGTGCAGGAGACGCACGGTTGCCAGATGACGGGCAGAGACTGAAACCATTCCCAGGGTTGGGGAACCGGGAAGCGCAGTGCATAGTGGTTCTGCATAAGAATCGGCTCTGTTTCTGCGTGTGTGTGCTAGCTGTGTGCTAGCTGAGTACAGCGCTGGAGTGCACGTGAGAGCCAGCAGAGAGTGAGAACAGCCAAGAGAATGAAGCCTGAGGGTTAGAACACTTAGGAGGAACCCGGAGGCAATGATAAAAGCACAACGACAGCGTGTTTGTTTTAGGGGTAGGTGTAGGTTTTGATGAGACATCTTGGAGAAAGATCATCTGTACCACTAAGTTTGGTCTTGCATTTAATGTGTCCTCAAGGCAACACAAGCAACAGACCAAGTTCCTGGCTGCTTTAAGGTTCCTGTCCAGAATGTGTGTGTGTGTGTGTGTGTGTGTGTGTGTGTGTGTGTGTGTGTGTGTGTGTGTGTGTGGTGGGGGGAAGAGATGGAGAGAATAAAGGAGAACTGGCAGCTACTGTGGTTCAGATGTTGTGCAACACACTGCCACACACGTTTATCCTCCAGTGCATCCTTTTTTGATTCTTGAATTCCAGGGAGCTGAAGTGAATTAGGCAGAGTCCCTAGAAGCAGCAGGGAATGCCCATTTCCTTCCGTTTGGTATTCTTTTTTATGTAAATGCAGCTGATGCTCTTATTTTGCCACTTACAAGTTCCTGTTACAATCAGTAATTGCCGCTTAGTAATACCTGTCTTACTCGTTGAATGCTGTTTATGGGTGATTTGGGCTAGTCATATAAACACAAGCGGGACTTTTGAGGTTACCGTGATGTGAATGGCAACCCTGGCAGAATAAAAAGAACACACCACCTAGAATTAGAGAATGTAGGTTTTTAAGCCCAAATTTTCCATCCCCTTTCATTCTCATAGGTTTCATGTTCCTCATCCATACAATGACGGAAAATTTAAAGAATTGGGGGGGGGGGGTTTAGGAGGGTCCCACTGCATCTTTGCTTCCAGTGAAATGATATGTACAAGTTCAAAGTGGAGTGAGCAGCTGGAACCCTGCCTCCTCGGCGTGCCCCTCCCCTGCCCAGGACCCGCTCTGGGTCTCTCTGTCTCTCCCTAACGAAGGCCCTTTCCCGGCTGGAATCCTATGATTTTCTGACTGCCATAACCTCCGTGAGTCAATTTTAGCAAAGGAATCCGATAATTCTGTATTTCATCACATCCGTTGGAACAACTTTTAGAAAGGACTCGCACACCACTCAGCTGTACTGGGAGGGCATGCTGGCCCTGGCGGTGGTACCTGGTAGGTAGTGAGTGAGTGGGAGAGCATATTGCAGCGGCTGGCGCCGAGTAGGTCCACTTTCTGACAAACATCCATCTTTAACTTGTCAAAAGAAGCTTTGCTATTTCTCACTTGCTTCTGGACCTGAAACCACAAAAATGTTCATTCTGATTACTGATAATACAGATGATACATATTCCGTAAAGTTTCACGACACACATTTTCAGAGGCATGAAGTCACAATATAGAAAACAAATTCATTTTGCCTATATTATTATGATATAGGTCATGATGAATGGTCAAGATTTTGGCTATTTTTTGTAATTATGTGAGATTCTTCCCAGACATCTTTATGCTGAGAAAGTATGCAATGATAGATGGAAAGTATATAGTTAAGAAGAAAAAACAAGATTCTAAATAAAAGGTAGCATCTAAAAGTAATGATTTAGGTAGGAGTAGAAGAATAAATGGAAAGGGGACATCAAGTATTGAGAATCATTAATAATAGTTCTAAGTCATAAAGATATATTTATACATTTAAATACATTCCTATTGTATTTCTATACATGAGTTGAGTCATGTCACCAGTAGTGTGAATACTCAACTTTTAAATATACTCATTCATTCAACAAATACGTATAAGACAGCTATTATGTGCCAGGCCCTGTGCTGGCACTGGGATATTATGGTGAACAAAACAGAGTTCATCCCCACCATCCCTGAGTGGGAAGCATAGGAAAAAAAGAAGTAAATAAATAGTGACAATAATCTCAAACTGTGAAGATAACAGATAAAAGCACAGAAATGGGTGACTACTTTTTTAAAATATTTTTTTTTCTCATTGATTTCAGAGAGGAAGGGGGGAGGAAGAGAGAGAGCAAGAGCGAGAGCGAGAGCGAGAGCGAGAGAGAGAGAGAGAGAGAGAGAGAGAGAGATAGATGCATTGATTGGCTGCCTCCCGCACACCCCCACTAGAGATCAAGCCTGCAACCTGGGCATGAACCCTTGACGGGAATCAAACCTGGGACCCTTCAGTCCACAGGCCACGCTCTATCCACTGAGCACACCAGCCAGGGCTGGGAGACAACTTTTGATAAGGTAATCCGGGAAGCCCTTGTACTTCAACCAAAGATCTCCAAGCAACCAAGATTTTATAATGTACCATTTTGTCAAAAATAGCCTGATCTTGAGTTGTTCAGCAGAAGTTGAACAGGTCTGTGCACCAGGAAAAGAAGGATGTGCTTTCGTACTTTTCTGAACTTTTCCATTTGCTTTGAGGTGTCGGGGTCCAGCTCCTGGGACACATCCTTCATCCACAGCAGAGCCCCTCGGTACTCCGTGCGCGCCTGCTCCATGCGGTTAATGGTGGTCAGGGTATCGGATACCGCCCTCTGGCTGAATGTTGCTACTTCTTGCTTAAGACGGGACAGGGGAGTATACAGGGCCAACCTAATGGCAAAGGGGTAGGAATCAGAAGGTTGTGCACTCCATAGCCAAACAAAGCAAAAACAAAGGTTTATAACAACCACAAAGCGTATTTGCTATCAAGATGAGTCTGTCCATGGAAAATTATTAAAATGCCCATAGGGCTTTAAGAAGCAAATAAGGATCACATAGCCAATTTGGAATCACTAATAAAGATGTATCCATAGCTTTCTCTTTTCTTATTTTAGAAATTATATCATTTTCGCAACATGCTGGGTGTTAATCCACGTGGAAATAACCTAGAAATTGACTTTTAAGTACATTTGCCATTTCTAAAAAAGCTTGTGGGTAAAAGAGATTCTGTATTTATAAAGAATTATCTTATAAACAGAAAACCTTTTAATTGACAAATTTAGGGAATGCCTGAGTGTGGAGAAGCAGGTAAACACTAGATGAACTAAGGAGGATCTGGTTCTTAGCAGCTGAGGATGAGGACAAAGAAACAAGGACTAAAGAAGCATAAGTCCAACCCGGCTCCTCTGGTCTGCTTTTGACACGATAAAGTGTCGCACTGTATGGAGTGTCTCTTTGTCACATCCTTGAGGATGAACTTGGGCACTGATGTGGTGTTTCAGAATAAAACCACTTAAATTGCTTGTGGTCTTTGCAGGTCTGATAAGGCCTGTTTTTATTTTCTTTGTAAAGTGCAAAGATTTTGTCTGTCTTTAGTAATGGTTAGGGATTCTTTGCAGCATGTATTTTTAAGAAAAAATTGCAAGATGATAAATGCAAAGTATATAATTGAGAAGAAGAACTTTCCTCTGCTTAAAAAGAAAAGTTTGAATGTATTCATAGATAGTATAGTACCCCAAAAAGTAAAAAACGAACAAACACATATCTATATCTATTTAAATTTTAGCTATATGATGCCTCTGTTACATTAAACCCCTTAAGAGATTTAAATACAGGCCTAAAGTCAATTTCTAGGAATTAAGCAACTGAGAAGGTCAATTCTATATAATAAAAGGCTAATATGCAAATCGACCAAACAGCAGAATGACTGGTCGCTGTGATGTGCACTGACCACCAGGGGGCAGACACTCAATGCAGGAGCTGGCCCCTGGTGATCAGTGTGCTCCCACAGGCGAAGCACCTCTCAGCCAGAAGCCAGGCTCACAGCTGGTGAGCGCAGCGGCAGTGGCAGGGGCCTCTCCTGCTCCATGGCAGCACTAAGGACATCCCCCGAGGGCTCCTGGACTGCGAGGGGGTACAGGTTAGGCTGACACCCCCCTCTCCCCGCCAGTGCAGGAGTTTCATGCACCAGGCCTCTAGTTTTTAAATAATTATTTAAAATACAAAATAAGTAAGAGTTAGGCCTCAAAACAATTACATACTGCAATATTTCCCTTTTGAACCCTCAATCGGAACGATCAGTAACCTTTTCAACATGCACATTTAGGCACACACATCAAACTGTCACCGTGACTACAGATTTAAGGATGATGCAAAACCGGGGAACCTTTGCTTGGCTGATGAACAGAGTGCCTTGCCAGTGGCATCCATCAGTTTGTCAGCTTGCGTTGCATCTCGCTCTGCTTTTGACTTCAAAAAGATCCCTAGTTGGTTTTCTTCCTCTGATACAGCTAGGGAAAAAAATTACAGTATAGTTAATTGTTTCATTTTTATCATCTGTCTAAAACACACACATCACTAAAATTCTCACAGAACTAATGGTCTATGCATAAGAATTACTTGGGGGAAGAAGAACAAGACATCTTAAAAATGCAATTCCTGGACTCCATTTCCAGAGATTCGGATTTAGAGGTCTGGGGAATCTGCCTTTTTTTAAATGAAGCACTCTAGCTGGTGGTAGAGTGTGTGTGTGTGTGTGTGTGTGTGTGTGTGTGTGTTTTCAAAATGTTTTTATTGATTTTTAGAAAGAGAGGAAGGGAGAAGAAGGGAGAAGGAGAGAGAAACATTGATAGGCTGCCTCCTGTATGTGCCCTAATTGGGGATCAAACCTGCAACTTGGGTATGAACCCAACCAGGAATCGAACCAGCAACCTTTCGGTGCATGGGACAACGCTCAATCAGCTGAGCCCACCGGCCAGGGCCAGATGGTTTTGATGCAGTGAATCCATGGAACTTGTTTTGGGAAAGATTGGTCGTTAGTAAAACATAAAATATAAACAACAAAATAAAACCACAAATGATGCATTACCAAACGTGCAGATATGCATTTTAGGATTTGACCATTTTTTATTATGACAAGAGTAACTTGGTGTAGGGGTGGGATGTAGACTTAACTGGAGTATCAGAGAAAGTGGAAGGACAGGAATTAAGACTGTGCATACAGTCAATATGTCCACATTTTCTGTTAAGGAGCAGAGGAAAGGGCATGGGCAACTGGTGGGGGGTGTCAAGGGAGAGAGTTTTTAAGTGCTGGAAGCAAATCCACTTAAAACTCTGAGCAGGAAAACCGAGCTCAGCAAAAATAAATCTGTGTTGGAGGACTCTGGGACTTGAAGAACAGGTTCCTGTAAATATTTATACATTGTCATAAGAAACTATTCCTAAAACAGTTCAAGAAACTATTTTTATATTAAGCATTTCATTAAAATAAGTATTTCTATCACATTGGGATTACAGGATATCTGTCTATGATTCCATACCATTGAGTCTTAGCTGGTATTTCTCAACTATCTTCATAAGTTCAGTGCATGTGTCTTGAATGCAGTGAAAAACCTTAGAGATATAAATTTTATTAGGACAGGTTAGAGAACCATAAACAAACACAAAATATCTGTTATAAGCACTTCAAAAGCAGAACATTTTCTTGTAAGTATTATGTCAATTTTCCTGGACTGGGATGTACTTCAGTTTGGGTTTTGTTTCTGATGTAGAAAGAACATTAAGATTTCCCTCGTGATATTCGGGGAAGAAATGGTGATAAATAATTGGGAGCTAATAGAAATTTCAAACTGTGGAGTTTGTCCTCCCCTCAGCTCCAAACTAAATAGCAAAACGGCAAATCCAGTGAAAACTGCATCCAGCATTGTCAACCACACATTAGGAGAGCAGAGATAACCGTAGAAAACGTTAACTCTGGCTTTTTTCCAATTTCGGTCTAAGCAAGAGAGGTCAGTGAATGTACCATCTGTAAGTTATTTCTGTTTAGAATTTTCCACGTCATCCCTTTATTGCTACTGTTGCTAATAGCTAACAGAAAAGCTTACCTCGAGTTTAGCATCCACTTCTGCGTCAGATGCCACCACGTGCTCATCCTCCTTTTTCCCTGTGGCTTTGATGAGGGCCTGCCTAGTTTCCCAGTATTTCTTTTGCATTCTGCTCACTACTGACTGGTTATCTTCTGCTCTAGGTTGCCCAAAGGAATCCATGGGGTGACTACAAGGAACAAACTAAAAGTAAAGGTATTTATTTATTTAATTTATCTTTATTGTTGAAAGTATTACAAGTGTCCCTCATTTCCCCCGTAACCCCCTCCACTCCGCTCCTGCCTAAAATTAAAGGTCTTCTAAAAACATTTTCAATAATAAAAACTTGTTAGCCAATTGTCAATCTAATTTTAAAAAAACTTTTAAAAAGATGAATAGAATATTAATGTTAACAGCTAAACATGCTAATGTTGGCTTTTTATGAGCTAAATAATTATAACTTGCACAAGGAACAGACAAAAAGATTAATGATATGTAATTCTAGTTAGGTGAGAAAAGTAATAAAACTGTTACGATTTTGCAGTAATGGCTGGAAATAATTCTATTTTATCTGACCAATTTTCTATTTGTTGACATTTATCAGTTTCTAATATTTCCTTTGTAATAATACTGCAAAATGAACTTGTACACACATCTTTGCATATCACTATCATTTCCTTAGGAAAACATTCTATAGTTACAACTATGTCAGAAGAATACACATTTTGTTTTAAAAAAAATTTTTTTATTGATTTCAGATAGGAAGGGGAAGGGATAGAGAGAGAGAAATGTCAATGATGAGAGAGAATCATCCATGGGCTGCCTCCTGCACCCCCCCTTATTGGGGATTGAGCCCTGACTGGGAATTGAACTGTGACCTCCTGCTCCATAGGTAGATGCTCAACCCCTGAGCTACCCCAGCTGGGCAGAGAATATATATTTAATAAATATTCTCAGGTATGCAAAGATTCAAATACATAATCCTCTTTAATAATCACTCAGAGAAATACTTTAGTATCCAAAACTAAAGATCTTAGAACAGGGGACATCTCTTATAAAAAGATAGAGATGGAAATTGTAGCCTGTAAGCTTAAAAATGAATGTTGAACTGATTGTTCTGAACATGATTAACATGACTATATAAGAAAAGGCACATGTGAAAAGTGTTCCTTAAGGAGAAGTAAAACAAGAAATAATAAGAGTTTTTATTATTTTTAAAAATATATATTTTATTGATTTTTTACAGAGGGGAAGAGAGAGGGATAGAGAGTTAAAAACATCGATGAGAGAGAATCATCCATCAGCTGCCTCTTGTACACTCCTTCCTGGGGATGTGCCCGCAACCAAAGTACATGCCCTTGACCGGAATCGAACCTGGGACCTTTCAGTCTGCAGGCCGGCGCTCTATCCACTGAGCCAAACCGGTTTCGGCAAGAAATAATAAGAGTTTTTAAAGCCCAAATTATTCTCATAAATGGTGGGAAGTAGGACAAAGGGAGGTGCTAAAGCATGTGGCTTAGACTCATTCGTCATTTTCAAGGGAATCATGAGTACAGATTAGGTTTTCCCCTTTTTCTTCTCTGTGGTTATTCCTCCTTATCTAATGGTTATGAGTCTTCTCTACTTCATCTCCAGGGGGTTCCACAGAGTATGACACTGATAGGTTAGGGGCCCGGGACAGTGATACCTGAACCACTGCTTCTCGATCAGTGAGGGGAAGGACATTGCACGGGAGCATTTCATTCCCGCCTGCTTGCCGGACTGGACGCCCGGCGCCAGGGCCACTCTTCCCGGCTCAGCCCGCCCGCCGCAGCTCCCTCGCCACTCTGTCTTTCTGCTTTGTTTCTGGGCCTGGTTATCTTATCTCGCCTCGGCACATATTTTTGGGTTTGCTTTTTTGAATAACTTTTATAAGTTTGGAGCAAACCTTACAGTGTCATCTAAACAGGAATCTTCTTTATTCCTAAAAAGAATTTTGTTTGTTTTTTTCACTTGAATGCAGTCATCACATAGAAGACTTTCATTTGTGTCCTTTAAATTTTTAGCTATCTCCTGGCTTTAAAGTACAAACCTTTTGTTTTGTTTTGTTTTGTTTTGTTTTTGTTAATCCTCACCGAGGATATTTTTCCATTGATTTTTAGAGAGTGGAAGAGAGAGGGAAAAACAGAGAAACATTAATGTGAGAGAAACACATCGATGGGTTGCCTCCTGCATGTGCCGGACCAGGGCCCAGGCCTGGGAGGAGCCTGCAACCAAGCCCTTGATCGGAATCGAACCCGGGACCCATTGATCCGCAGGCCAATGCTCTATCCATCCAGCCAAACCGGCTAGGGCTAGAGTACAAATCTTAAAACAAATCAATACTTTAGCGGCAGTTCTGTACTCACTTTATTTATAATATCCCATTACTGTGACAACACTGAAAAGCAAGCAAAACAGACTGATGGTAATGTGCAAACTGAAGCACCGAAATCCCCTTGAGAAAAATAACGTGAAGACTTTTGACTAAATATAACATTACTGTTTAATGCAATTAGGGAAATACACTAGACAGGTTTGCTGTTTAATATTAATGCAGTATTCCTGATTACTCTGGCTCCTAAGCCATGAATTTTCTCATAAACACAATCAGCTTTCCTCAGAATCAGAGTTTGTTAATGATTCAACTTTAGGGTGGGGTGGAGGGGAATTGTTGTATAACAGTTATAATTGTTAAAAATGTTTACTTGATTGTCAAGACAGTTATATCTTTTTATTTTGTCTTTTAATATTTTATTTATTATTACTATGCAACACTAGCAGGTCTTTATTCAAAGATGAGAGTCACTCATTCATTCATTTGTTAAATATATATTAAATACTTACACTTTTATGTAGCAACTTTACTTATCTGAAAATTGACTAGAATTATGACTAAGTTCATAAGAAGTCTGAGACATTAAACTACTTATTACATGGACTATGTATTAAATCACATATATGTTACTTATAAGAAAGCTCCTATTCTCCTCTCCTGCCAACATCACGCCTAATTAATTACAGAAATAAGATTGGAATTCAGGTGTGCTGGCTACCATGTGTGAAATATTGAAGAAAAGTAGAGATTTTAATAACAGGAGGCAAGGAAATGCCATTTCAAATATTGGCTAAAGAAGAGAAAGGTAGATTGATGATAGATTGTAGAGATCTCTAAACTCTAACAGGTAATAGAGCTTTTGGAGCCAATAAAGGTTTTGTTTTGATGGTTTTATATGTTTTTATTTATTTCAAAGAGAAGAAGGGAGAGGGAAAGAGAGAGATAGAAACATTGTTGAGAAACATCTATCAGCTTCCCCCGCACACCCCTTAAGGGATCCAGCCCACCACCCAGGCATGTGACTGGGAATCCAACCCTTAACCACCTGGTGTTTGACATGACGTTCAACCAACTGATTCATAGGGGTTGGGCCCAAGGAAGGTTTCTGAGTTGCAGAAAGACTAAACAGAAAGTTTAGAACAATCTTCCCATATTCTAGACATGATCTAGTAAGAGACTGGACCAAGCCTGGCCAGGCCCTGGGGTTGGAGCTTGATCCCCAATGGGAAGCATGCAGGAGACAGTCAATAATTCTCTCTCTTCATTGATGTTTCTATCTCTCTCTCCCTCCCCCTTCCTCTCTGAAATCAATAAAAATATATTTTAAAAAAGAAAACAAAAGTCTGTCACACCTCATCTGTTGTTAGAAAGTATTTTTATTGTTTTATAATAAATATTTGTAATAAAAAGGTGGCTTCTTCCTAGTTTTCCCACCAGGCTGTTTTCAGTTTTTGCACTTTGGACTGGCTGGTCTGTAAGCACTCACCTATCTCTAAAATTATAATGATTTGTCCAACAATTATAATTAGTTGTAATTAAAACAGTCTTCCACATAACAGTTGCAATGGCAAATGTATATCCCATTACTGTGACAAGACTGAAAATATTAATTTTCACTATTAAACAGACACTATTAAACAGACATTTCAAAGAATGTTAGGCACAGGCAATTATCTAACGATTAAAAATTTGTCACAGCTGTTAACAATATGTACATACCATTAGATGATTATTTTGCCAACAAATGTATCATTAAGCCCTACTAAAGGATGAGGCACCGGTGCTACCATAAATATTCATGTGAAGATGATTAAAGTAATATCACCTTACAGTACGTTGCCTACGTCAGAACTAAATAAAGCAATACATAAGTATTTAGAGAAAACCAAAAGCAGCCACGGGTAAACGTTATCTTCCCAAGAAGCTATATTTCACAGTGACCTATATAGTTCAGAATAGCTTTTTTTTTTTTCCTCTGAGTCTCAAGATCATCTACTCCATGAAAAATAACCCCACCCCCTCTCCTGGCAAGCCCGCGGCATTGGCAGGTCGGTTGCCAGGATGGATTTTCCCCTCTCCATCTTTCTGGGAGCATCAGGTATCTGAGCAATGACATCATTTGGGCACCTGACCAGAGGATCGGCGTGTCCAGCAGCAGGATCCCTGCGGGGGGCTGGGCTCAGGCCTCGGTGTAAGATTTGTGCGCCCCCCGCCCCCCAGCTCGCGCAATCCGCTCTTCCCGCAAACCGCCCACTCGCTCATGTGTAGTTTGTGCCCAGCGCCCGCCACTTAGTTTCCAAGAGACAAGCCCCTGTCCCAACACTGGCTAATGAGCACAGCGGGAGGAGTCAGACGGAAGCACCTGCGGCTGTGAGCACTGCCTGGGCTGGAGGGTCTTGGAGAGAAATCACCCAGACCAGCCTCAGCCCCGCGCGCTCGCGGGGGACGCGCCGTTGGTCCCGTGGTCCGCCCGGAGGACACGGACCGGAGGGACGGAGGACCCGGGGGGAGGGAGGACCCGGGGGGAAGGAGGAAGAGACCGGAGGGGGGGGGGGCCGGGGCCGCGGACCCCCGGGGAACCGCCGAGGCCGGCGAGGCCCAGCGAGATCCGTGCGTGCGGGGCGGGCGCGCCTCTCGGCGTCTGCACGTTGGGGCGTCGCCATGGAAACAAGGGTTTGGCGTCCGGGCCCGGCGGTCGGTGGAGGGCGCGGCGGTGCCGCGGGGGCCGGGCCCGGGTGGGGGCGCACTCACCGCCTCCAGGAGGCTGCTCGGTCCCCACGGCCACGCGGAGGTCCGTCCCGCGGCCGCCGCCCCCGAACCCCGCGCAGCCGCTGCCGCAGGCGGCTCCCCCCCCCGCACCCCTCCCGGCCCGCGCCTCCTCCCTCCGCACCCCTCCCCGCCCCGCACCTCCTCCCCCGCACCCCTCCCGGCCCCGCACCTCCTCCCTCCGCACCCCTCCCCGCCCCGCACCCCTCCCGGCCCCGCGCCTCCTCCCCCCGAACCCCTCCCGGCCCCGCGCCTCCTCCCCCCACCCGCACCCCTCCCGGCCCCACGCCTCCTTCCCCCGCACCCCTCCCGGCCCCGCACCTCCTCCCCCCGCACCCCTCCCGGCCCCGCGCCCCCCGCACCTCCTCCCGGCCCCGCGCCTCCTCCCCGCGGCACCCCTCCCGGCCCCGCGCCTCCTCCCCCGCATCCCTCCCGGCCCCGAGACCCCCGCACCTCCTCCCGGCCCCGCGCCTCCTCCCCGCGGCGGAACCGAGTGAGCCCACAAGGCAGACGCCGGCAGTGTGAGCCCTGGGAGCGGGTAAGTGGACGGAGACCTGGGCTTCCTCCCTGAGCCCGCAGCCCGGGTCCCCCAGCCCCGTCCCCGCCCCTGCCGGACACCCCGCTCCCCTCTTCATCCCCCCGCCCCCCTTTTCCTCCTCCCTGACCCCTCTTCCCTCCCCCGCCCCCCTTTCCTCCTCCTTGACCCCTCTACCCCCCCCCCCCCCGCACCTGCGGGACACCCCGCTCCCCTCTTCATCCCCCGCCCCCCTTTTCCTCCTCCCTGACCCCTCTTCCCTCCCCCGCCCCCCTTTCCTCCTCCCTGACCCCTCTACCCCCCGCCCCGCACCTGCCGGACACCGGGCCCCCCTCCCCGCAGCGAGGCTCTGGCTGAGCTGCCTCACCCTGAGTCCTGCGGCTTTGGGCACCGCCAGCACCTGGAAACGTCCCCGTGCTGTATGTGATTCCGAAGACTGAAAGGGGATTCAGTAACAGCTGTTAATAGCTGATCTCGAATGCACATATTCGTTGTCATAAATGTCTTCAAGAGCAAAAAGTAACATTTGAGCCTAAAAACCTCAAGGAGGAGAATGGAAATAAGGCAAAAGAATTACATTACAGATGGAAAATGAAGTCAAAGTGCTTTTTAAAGTGACTCAAAAACATTAGCAGCTGTTCTAAAACATTACAAAATGTGAATTATTGACAACTATGATGTATAGGCTAGTAAGTGGGAAAAGCTTACGTTTGAAGTGATAATTCAGTCTGTAATATCATGAAAGAGGTAGAATGTTATTACAAAGTACTTACCTTAAAAACCTGAAATAAAAGTAGTTTTAGAACCGAAAAAAGCTTAGGCTATTTATACTATAGAATTAATTTGGATTGGAAATATTAAATTGTCTTCAGCTTAGGAATTTTTAAAAAACATTTTTTTTTCAGAGAGGGATGGAGACATCAATGAGAATCATTGATTGGCTGCCTCTTGCACGCCCCCTACTGGGGAAGGAGCACTCAATCCTGGTGTGTGCCCTTGATGGGAATCAAACCCTGAATCCTTCAGTCTGCAGACGGCTGCTCTATCCAGAATCCAACTGGCTAGAGCAAACAATATATATATTTTAAATATACTTTATTGATTTTCTTAGAGGAAAAGAGAGAGAGATAGAAACATCTATCAGCTGCCTCCTGCAACCTCCTATTGGGGATGTACCCAAAACCAAGGTACATGGCCTTGAAGGGAATCAAACCTGGGATCTTTCAGTCCACAGGTCGATGTTCTATCCACTGAACCATACCGGTAAGGGCAGGACAAAATATTTTTAATAACTCTGCCTGAAAGGCTCATTCAGAGACCACCCAGAACAGAAATATAAATTTATACCAGTTCTCTGAAAATTAAAATATTTTCAGAAACTACACATAAAATTTACAGATCTTCACTAAATGAGAAACAGTCTTTGTGTATGAATCTCAGTCACTAAATGAGAGAAAAATGACGTGACTGGAGCTCTAGCTCTTGTCCATATTACAGGGTAGAGGGTGCGTGCCAGGGTCCGAGTGTGGAAAACCACTGCCCTAGCCCTGGACAGCTTACACACATGAGAACTAAACTTATTCCTGGTTTAACATGTAAAGCACCCAGCCTATTTTGTCTTCTGGATGGAAAGTATACCAGTGGCCGGCTAACTCATTAATCAACAATCAAATATCAACAGTACACGATTGAAATTTCTTTTGAGAGCCAAATTTTTTAAACTCAAACTTCTTCTAATGCCACTTCTTCAAAATACTTGCCCAGGCCGTGGTGTTTTGTGGAAGAGCCACCCTCAAGGGGCCAAAGAGCCGCATATGGCTTGAGAGCCCCAGTTTGCCAACCATGGGTATAGTCAGTCACTAGTGATTGACTTGGCGCATAACTTGTTAATCCACTCACTGTTAATTTGGCTCTCAACTACAGCCAGATGGGTAACTACCCTGTTTCCCCGAAAATAAGACAGTGTCTTATATTAATGTTTTCTCCCAAAGTTGAGCTAGGTCTTATTTTCAGGGGATGTCTTATCTTTCCAAGCGCTAGGTCTTATTTTCGGAGGATGTCTTATTTTCGGGGAAACACGGTAGATTTATTGGTGTGATTACTTGGTAAGTTATATCTCTAAATCACAGAATTATACACCTAAAATATATAATATTGTATGCCAACTCTAAAACTTAAAAAAAGATTTTTTTTTTTAAAAGATATTGTTCCCCGGTTGGTCAGGGCACATACGGGAGGCATTTGATTGATGTTTCTCTTTCACATTGATGTTTCTGTCTCCCTTTTCCCTTCCCCCCAATCAATGAAAAAACAGTTTTGGGTGAGGTTTTAAATTAAGTCTAATGATATGATCAAACTGATTCCTCATATATTACTCAGAAGTTGAAGTGCTCTGCTTGAGAAATGCCAATCCATTAGAGACGGAAGAGGGCATTTCCTTTAAATATTTGGTATATCACATATGAATTTAGACCAGTTCTATAACATTTGTAGAAAATTTGTATCTAATCCTGACTGAAAGGTTTGGTCTATATAATCTGTTCTTATCTATACACAAGAATAAGTATGGTATAGGATTCCTTGTTACCATGAAATCTGTATGCAGTTTCTAAAGGATGGCGACATATCTTTAATATGAAGTACTTCACTTAAGAGTATTTCAACAAATTCTTAATAAATTGGTAATATCTATATGTTCTAATGTTCTGAATATCTTCAAAGTCTTATGAGACATGACTTATTTTAACAAAAGCAAATTGCATTTCTAAGTTTTTCTGTATTAAATTTTATTTTTTAGATGCTTTTTAAAACAACTAACTTTAAAAAGTTCAGTTTCTCTATCAGAAATTAAAAAACAACCACCACTGGACAAGTACTGTATTTTTAATATATGCTTTTATAGCATTTCAAAAGAAATAATAAACTCAGTTTTATTTCAAGAGTTTACATAAGGGAGAGAATGCAAGATACATTTTATATTATATAAATGCACACTGTTATGCAATAAATACAAAACAAAGAAAAAGACAGTAATAACTATTATCAAGGGTGATGTGCACTGATGTACATCATGAGGATTCTCTATCAATTACATTTACAGAATCTCTGCAGTCAAGTTTATCACCATTTTCATGCCCCCACATGGGAACAGGTAGGTGAATATCTGTAGGAATACAACTTATTGTCTGCTCCTCCACTCAGAAGTAACTGCATAAAAGGAGAGAAAAAAACAAACAGAAGACAGTTATTTCATATGATAGTAAACCTAAGTAAATACTGGTGATTCAGATTAGAGAGAAATTATGGATGAGCGGTTAACTTGCATTGTGAGTTTATACTTAAGTAGAGGCCCGACTGCTGGTCAGACATCCCTCTCACAATCCTGGACCACTGGATCCTAATCACTAGCCTACCTGCCTGCCCGGTCGCACCTAACTGGTCTCCCCTCTAACGCCCTGATCGCCCCTCACTGCCCACCCCCCCACTAGCCTGGTCACCCCACGCAGCTTGCTTGTTCAGTCATTTGGTCATCCCTCACTAACCCCTCTGCTGGCTTGGTCGTAGGCAGCCATCTTGTGAGGGCTAATTTGCATATTACCTCTTTATTATATAGGATGGACTGGTTACATCAGTTTTCATTATAATACAGTATATTAAAGCTTTAAAAGTGATCATTTGAATTTGGTTAAGGTGTAAATTCCTATGAAGGATTTGCTAAGAAATGTAATAAAAAGTTTGAAGGGTTATATAGTTTTGCCCATTTAAGAAAATTAAGTTTTTAAAGGACAGCACATTGTTTGCCAGTAATGGATATTACAAATTATACAAGTAGACCTAGGACCTGTATTTGAAAAGAATTCTTAGGCCACAGAGCTAATGTATATACATAAAAATAGTTAAACTATAATTCTTTAAACACATTTTATAATCTAGATTCATTATTTAAGATTTTTCCAAATGGAAAATATTTTGATCCAATTAAAGTAGCAAATTTATGGATTTGAAACATGTCATTAAAATACTCATAAAAACAAAATTGCTTCATATATTCTATTCCTAATATTGATGAACATATCTGTTCCTTCTTTGGAGTCTGAGATTTTATGAATAATATTAATGGAAACTTAGAATAGAGAATTGTAAATATCAGATATATGAAATACAACAAACACCAGATTTATGTTAATGATATATTTTCCTCTTTACCAAATAACGGACATCTTACCCCTATGACTGTCCAGTCCACACTTAGAACTTTGTCCTCATGAGCAGCCAAATCGTAGAGAGGAGCTTTACAACTGAAAGATGAAAATGTTGGCATGTTATGTGCATGTCATGATACTAAAACAATCATATATGATCAGCTAAATTTTCCTGGAAACTTTAACATTCACCATCCCTGCCTCTGGAAACAGTATTAAAATTCTGGGTTATTTACTTGACCACCTCTCCTATTTTCTTACATCATTAGCAAGTGACTGAGATTTACTATAAACAAATATATTTAAGAAAAATGCTAATTTACTTATAAAAATTTATAATTAGGCCCATCTTCACACTTCCTTGACTACTGTACTTTTACTCCCGGATCATGGCTTTACATACCGTTGATCTACTCATCTATATGCTGATAACTCCCAAATTTATATTTTAGCCAGATTTCTCCCCCGAGTTTGGTATGCATACCCCTTGGATGACAGCTGGATATCTCTAGGCACTACACATTTAAAACAACCAAGAAACTCTTGATTTCCCCCTAAAAACCTCTTTTTTCTACTCTTTCCCATTGTAGCAAATGGCACCAATAATTACTTAGTGGCTCAATAGAAAATACAAGCATTATCCTAGACTCCTATTTCTGCTTTCAGTTTCTGGGCTAATCTTGCCAAAAAGCAATCTTGCCCTGGCCAGTATGACTCAGTGGATAGAGCCTCGGACTATGGACTGAAGGGTCCCAAGTTCGATTTCAGCCAAGGGCACATGCCTGGGTTGCAGGCTCCTTTCTCAGCAGGAAGCAGTTGATCAATGATGTTTCTATCTCTCTCTCTCTTCCTTCCTCTCTGAAATAAAAATATATTTTAAAAAACAAACAAAAAATAACCCCAAAGAGCTATCTTCAAAACATACTTAAAATCCAACCACTTTAATACTACCCCCATAGTCCAAATCACTATTCTGACTCTTGAATTATAATATTACCTCTCTGCTTTCATTCTGCTCTCCTGCTCAAAAATTTCCAAAGCTGCCTTCCTCCTCATGCTTAGAATGAAATCGAAATTCCTTTCTGTGGCTCACAAGACACTGCTCAATATCACCACCTGCCTCATGTGCAGCCATTCTCTCCTCCTTCCTTACTCCTTTATCATCCACTGACTCCCTTGCTATTTTGTCAATATGCAATGACTTTCCCCACCTCATCTGCTTTTTCCTCTGCCATGGTCTGTGCGTGCCTTATACCTTCACATTGTTCAATTCATTATTAGAATACTACTTTCAAAGAGAGGCCTCCCCCAAAGAAGCGTCCCCTTTACTGTGCTTGAGTTTCTTCAGAGCATTTAACTATTAGTATCAGAAACTATTTGGTAACTAGCAGTATCAGAAACTACATAAAGTAGCCAATTAAAATGTATATACCTTCTAGATATTAATAAATCATGTATCATAATGTAGTATAAGGATGTCAGAAAAGCAGATTTAAGGTAAATTACAAGCATGCGTTTTTATTAACACATAATTTATAACTTGACCACAGTTCTGTTTATCGAGAGACTACTGGCCTTCTTCTTCTATAATGACCAGAGGCCCAGCGCACAAAATCGTGTGAGACACAGACCTTGTGTACTGGGGGACCCAGCGTCAAGTCCCTCCTGGTGACCGGTCTCTGGTTGTTACGGCATTATGATCACCAGGTTTTTATTATATAGATAATAAAGTTCAGGATAGTTTTCCTGACCTCTGTCTTTTCTTGTCTTACATACATAACAAGGCCAGAAAGATGGATTTTATAAACTTGTGGAATTTTTTTGTCTGAAAACCCCCCACAACTATCACAAATCCTTTCAGATTGCAAAAAAAATGCTAACAAAAGAAAATGCCTTTGATTCTGGTCCTTCTTTTTGATATCAATATTTATCATTTCAGTATCCACTTTGTTTTCTCTGTATATAATAGGCAGTTGATATATTTCCTTTGTGGACCATAAACAGGACTTACCTCCTTATATCCCACAGCTTGACAATGTTATCTAAAGAACCTGAAATCAGCTGATGCTCATAGATAGGAGACCACTTCACTGCCGTGACCCAGCCGGTGTGAGAGGTCAGGGACAGCGACACCAAAGAACCATCTGAACAACGCAAAAAGTTAACAATGACTGAATAGAAGTAGGCAGAACAAATCTAAAAAGAAGTATGTAGAAAGTTAGCTTTTTATACACATCTCTGAGGGAAAGAGAAGTGGGTGTTGTTTATACATCTTCCCTCCAGTGGTTCCCAGGACTCACCATTAGCCCGGGGATCCCACAGTCTGACATGCCTATCGGTGCTTCCAGATGCTAAACGTTTACCAAGTGAAGAGTAGGAGATACAGTTAAATACTTTATTTCCTGTCTGGAAAGAAAAAGGGAAGGACATTTAACCAGTGTGGGTTAAAATTAATCATCTCTAGAAGCTTATCCACTTAAAAGCTCAAGGTTAATTGGAGAACCACTAAAATTGTATATCTTACCAACGTTGACTTAAGACTGCCAGACTCAACATCCCATATTCTAATTGTGTGGTCCCAGGATGCACTGCAGATTTCTTCAGCATCTGACCACAGAACCGAGGAAATTGCTTCTTTATGACCAGACAGGGTCACGATGGGCGTCTAAAAAATAAGACAGATGAAACTAAGGTGGCATAAGTCACAACAGTGATTACCTTTAGGGACTACTTATTTTGAGGGAGGTTAGAGGGAGTCTTCAGGGTATTGGTAATTCTCAATGTTTTGATTTGGATAAGGATTACTTGGGTATTGTAAAAATTCATTGAGTTATATACTTAACTATATGTATACTTAACTATATGTGAAACTTCAATTAAAGAAAGATTATTTAAAAAAAAAAAATAAAAAGACCACCTTCACTCTCAGTGGCTAGAGCTAGTCCCTTGGACTGAAGGGTCCCAGGTTCAATTCGGGTCAAGGGCATGTATCTTGGTTGCAGGCTCAATCTTTGGCCCTGGTCGGACATGTGCAGGAGGCAACCAATCGATTTCTCACACTGATGTTTCTCTCTCCGACTCTCTCTCTCTCTCTTTCACGCCCTCTGAAAATCAATGGAAAAACATGCTTGGGTGAGGATTAAAAAACAAACAAAAACCAAAAAACTACCTCTGTGTAAAGGATTTTTATAATTCAACAAATTCTCTTCTCAGACATATTCTTTAGATGTTGCAACATCAAGGAAATGCATCGCTGAAACCGGTTTGGCTCAGTAGATAGAGTGTCGGTCTGCGGACTGAAAGGCCCCAGGTTTGATTCTAGTGAAGGGCATGTACATTGGTTGCGGGCACAACCCTGGTACGGAGTGTGCAGGAGGCAGCTGGTCGATGTTTCTAGCTCTCTGTCCCTCTTTCTCTCCCTTCCTCTGTGTAAAAAATCAATAAAATATATATTGAATAAAATAAAAAAAGGAAATGCATTAATAAATTACATCTGGCACACTATCCAAATTGGCAAGGCATTTACAGTTCTTTATTATTAAAAAAAATATTTTTATTGATTTGAGAGAGGAAGGAAGAGTGAGATAGAAACACCAATTTGTCAATAAAGACCTAAGCCAAGGATAGCAATTTTCACAAATACTTACTCTTGTTAGTCCCAATTGCTCTGTTTTCTGTTTCTTTCTTGGTCGATTTGTGGATTCCTCCATTTCATCTTCTTCATCTGTAGGGACTGTGTCATAGAGAATTAGATTTGATACTTTTAAAATTATGGTAAACATTAATTGCAAACAGTCTCAAAGAATTCTTACATTCTGGGTACATATTTTCTCCACATTATCTCATTTGGCTAGAATAGATATTCCTACTTATTTTTGTTAATAGAAAGTTATACATAAAAACAATACATAAAAACAATATCTTCCAAACAGAGAAAGTAAAATACATTAAATTCCTAGAAGCTAACCAGTTTGATATCGCATTATGTCTTTAAGATCATTAAGAATATTCATCACTTTACCATATCTAAGAAAAATTGCTTACTGTTAGTTGACCAGACTGCATTTACATCAAGAAGGGAATGCCACAAGATAAACACGTGTTAAAAGGACATACATTCCAGCCATGTTTATTCTTCTTTTACTTTTCTAACAATGAATTTAAGTGTTTCACAGATAGTTATTTTTGTTTGGTAACCATTTTATGGATTTTGAAGTTTTTCCCAAACTCTATAGTAAGTGCCCTAAGGGCAACAACTAATATACATATCTCATTTTCCCAGAATTATAAAAAATATACATATTCAAAGGGAAAAATTTCTAAATTACTTCCTGCCTCAATACTGTTTATTACACATAATTTCTTAAAACTCTTGAAGCTTTATTTCCTGATTCCCCCCAACTCTCCCTTGTAAACCGAATTTAGGGTATCATGCTGTAAAACAGCAATTACCTCAGAAGTAACAGGTTATTCTGATCTGTTTACCTGTGCCATAAATAGGTCTGGGTTACTGTTTTAAAAATTTAAGTATTTGTGAGTCTTCTCCCCCCCTTTCTTCTTTCAATGTCTTACTACTGTGAAGGCACCGGCCTCCGAGAATCCTCCCTCCTCCTCCTCCTCCTCTAATTGTTCCTTCTAATCTGTTTCCCAAGTAAGAAGTTTGATAAAATTGTATTAAAAATGTCTGCTTTTAAAAATAAACCAGCTTTAAGGAAATTCCTCTAATAGTAAAGTGTATAAAAATTACTCAAAAGATACTTTATTTCCAGATTCCTGAATAAGGGACAGTTATGTCCCATTACACCAAACATGCTGATATGTGCAGCAATTCAGTGACATGCAATTAATAAGGGGATTTTGAGGTAGAAAAACATTTTGATGCACATAGAAATATATGAATTTTTTTCTATTCTCTGATCCTTTGTATCTTACAAAACCCTGGTCTATTTTTATGGTAACACATGGGCTACAAAGAACTTTCACTAAAATTCTTGAAATATTAATAAGTCAATGTAAAATGAACATTTGATTTACCTGTAGACCAGATCTTTAGCATCTTATCCCAGGAGCCACTGCAAAACTAGAAACAAGATATATATGAAAGAAAAATGAGTTTGTAATATAACCCATCATATTATTTTTTCTCTCTGCTCTCGTCACCAATCACAATGAATATACACAGGAAACAATTTTTACATAAGTTCAGAGTGGAACTCAACACAGTCCTGATGACACAGGAGCTGCTTACTTTAGTTCCTGTGCGGTCGACAGCGATGGAGTCCACACTCCCCGCGTGGCCTCTGCAGCAGTGCAGGGCTTTCACCTTGTTCCTCTCCGCATCCCACTCCCACAAGAGGATAGTCTGGTCCACAGAGGCACTCAGCAGTAGGTAAGACGGGTAGTCTGAAGAAAGGAGAGCACAGGAGTAAGAAACATGAAAGCACAAAAAGGTAAAATGGGTCATGCTCTGAAACCAAAGAATTGAATTTGTTGTTGAGAAAAAAAAAAAAAAAAAAAAAAAAAAAAAAAAAAAAAAAGAAGCTCATGTCCAGCTTTGAAAAAGAAGTTAACTTATAGTATAAAGATTCTTCAAAAAGTGCATTAAGAGAAATGAGTTTAACACACCCAGTCCTAACTTGAAAATATGTATTAACCTGTATAAGAAAAGCCTGATATGCTAAGTGTCTAGTAATCTATTCAATCAATTAAAGTGTAATATGCTAGTGATATGCTAAGGCTGCTCAACTGTTCACTACGATGTGCACTGACCACCAAGGGGCAGACACTCAAGACTGGTAGGTTAGCTTGCTTGGGGTCTGGCCAATCAGGACTGAGCAAGTTGGGGTTGGACATGCCCTGGAGCCCTCCAGTGGTCCCTCCCTGCTTGGTCAACTTCCCATGTCTCTCCCTGGCCCCAATTATGCACCTGTGGAGTCCCTCAGCTTGGCCTGCACCCTCTCACAATCTGGGACCTCTTGGGGGATGTTGGGAGAATGGTTTTGGCCCAATCCCGCTCAATGTTGAAACTGCCCCCTGGTGGTCAGTGCCCTCCCTCAGGGGGAGCACCGCTCAGCCTGGCACAGTCAGCCGGGCACAGCTGGCAAGCGCAGCAGTGGTGGCAGGAACCTCTCACATCTCCACAGCAGCACGAAGGATGTCTGATTGACAGCTTGGGCCTAAGCCATCAGTCAGACATTCCCTGAGGGTTCCTAGGCTGAGAGAGGGCGCAGGCCTGGCTGAGGGACTCCTATTACTGCCCCTCCCCCACTCGAGTGCACAAATTTCGTGCCCTGGGCCTCTAGTCTGATATAATTCTAGTAAGGGTTCACTTTACTAATGTATGAATTTTTTATATAATCCTTTTCTTCTTGAACACTCTATTTTTTTAAAAAGTGAGAATAACGGAGGCATGAGACATTTCCTAACCTGTGCATTTTCTGCCCAGCACTGAAAATGGCTTATTTTCAATCCCTATCCAGGAGTGCTCTCGGTTTCGGCAGAGTGCTTACCTTTTTTCACCCAGGCCACATCTTTTACGGCCTCTGTATGTCCCACAATCGTCATTACCGACTTTCCTCCCAAGGACCAGATCCGAGATGTCTTATCATAAGAACCAGTCAAGATCCTGTCAGAAAATAGAAAAAGCAGCTTTTTTTAGCTCATAAAATCAATTATATTTCTAAGGTAACAACAAAGTTAATTTTGAGGATTATACTTTAAAATTCTTCTTGAATATGAGATTTCAAAGCACACTAGAGCAGAACAGAAGATATTACATTTGGCTTTTCCTGACCTGCTAAAAATAAAAATAGAACTCCTGACAAGTCCTGGACTTCACTTTTACTGTTGTAAATACTAAAACTATTAGGAAAGCTAAGCAAGTAGCTTGTAAAGCCTAATAGTCCTTGCAAAAAACCATTATACAGAAAAAAAACAAAAACAACAACAAAAAAAACAACAACACAGAAAACCCGTTAAAGTAAAAGCGTAACTTTGTGTAATAACTACAGGGAGAATTCTCTGAACATAAGCTACCTTATACACCACTCTTCAGGTTTTTTCTACAGGGAAGGCCAGCGGGGATCTGCTCTAAGCCAGCCACGACTTCTTGATTCCAGTCTGCCCGTTTTAGCCCCAATATAGCATGATCTGCACCTTCATGATAGCAGGCCAGGAGATATGTAACTTATAAAAGGATTCCACCCGGTCCCCTCTATAAGACAAATAATATCCTTGGTCTTAAAAGCAGCAAATCAAATAAATGCCTTGACACTTGACCTATTCAGAATACAAATATCACCACATCTTAACACAGAAAACTTACTGATATCTTTCTTCTTGACTAGAGTGGATGTAAAGATCTTTGGTGTGGTCACTGATACGTGTATCACAAATTATTTTTACAAAGAACAGAGAATCAGAGAATATTCCCATCATGCACTTAAGAAGGCTGATGGTGGCATAAGGAAAGGGATATAAGAACATTCATCTGGCAATACCATTCCTCTGTCCCTCTGATGGAGCTGATCCAGTCATCATGGAATAAGCATTGCTCTGGCTGAGGGGCAGTGTACTTCTCCACGTATTCTAGAACCACAACCTCTTCCTAGTCACAGAGAGAGCAGACATCAATCAGGTGGTGCAGTCTTCCGAAGATAAAAGACCCCCCAGTTTAAGACATCTCCATGTGTGTCCCCTTCATAATCCAGAAAATCTGGAGCCATATAAAAGATGAAACTTTATTTGACTTAACAGTATGCTATGAGTAACATTAAGAAATATTGCCCAAACCGGTATGGCTCAGTGGATAGAGTGTCGGTCTGCGGACTGAAGGTTTGATTCCAGTCAAGGGCATGTACATTGGTTGTGGGCACATCTCAGGTAGAGGGTGTGCAGGAGGCAGCTGGTTGATGTTTCTCTCTCAACGTTTCTATCCCTCTCCCTTCCTCTTTGTGGAAAATCAATAAAATATATTTTAAAAAAAAGAAATATTAATGACCTTGGAAAACTTATGCTAAAAGTGGGGGGGAAAGAATGTAAGAAGTCTGGCCGAGTGGCTCAGTGGTTGAGTGTTGACCTATGAACTAGGAGGGCTCAGTTCGATTCCCAGTCAGGGTACATTCCTGAGTTGTGGGAGATTTCAATCCCCAAAGGGAGGCGAGCAAGAGGCAGCCAATCCGTGATTCTCATCATTGATGTTTCTATCTCTCCTTCTCCATTCCTCTCTCTGAAATCAATAAAAATATATTTTTAAAAAAGAATATAAGAAACTTAAACTATAAAATCACAAAAGCATATTGTTAAATGGGTACAGAGCTTCTACTTAGAAGGAAGTAGTAGTCTTGAAAATGAATAGTGGTGATCGTTGCATAATATTGTGAATGTAGTTAATGGCCAGTGGATTATAAACAAAAAATGGTTAAAATGATAAATTTTATGAGTATTTTACCACAGTTCTAAAACTTGCCCCCCAAATTATGTTTTAAATGATAAAAGCAATATTAGTAAGTTTGAAAACTACAGGGAAGAAAAATCATTTTAAATCACAATAGCCTTTGGCAGTGTTCGGCAAACTGCGGCTTGCCGCTCTGTTGACTAATGATTTGGCGATCATTGGCCTAAGCTTTAAGTTGTTCTAGGTGCACAATCATTTTTTACACCTTTATGAAAACTAAATATATATTTGTTGTTGCCTTTTTTGACCATTCTCCCACAGATATGAAGGTATCTTTCCATATTCATTTATCTGTATTTCTTGCAAAATATACTCTCAGAATAGAGGATTAAAAACTTGAGTATATACAAAACTGAAATTCAAATTTCTAGGGGTAAAAGTAATCAAAAGGATACTGGTTACCGCAATATTAGATTAGATTAAGCCTGATTCTAAATAGTTTGCCTACATTACCTGGCAATAACTTTAGTAAAATAGAGCAAGCAAGCATTTGAACTTACCGATGAGATGTTTTCCAGTTCCATATGTTTGAGCAAGGGCATTCGTAGAAACTGGCCCTTGACAAGGAAATCAAACTCCACATGTTTGTGGAAGTCTAAAGAAAATACATAATAAAATCATCACTCAGAGGACCTGAAGTGGTATTAGCAGAGATGTATATGAGAGACTCCAAAACAAACAGGTACTTATTATCCCAGTGTAGCCTCTGAGTTTTTCCAGAATAGTGTTTACATCTTCTATTTCATGTGTGATTTTACTTTTTAAAAATCATATTATAGAAAAATTCATATATGCAAAAATGGAGAATAAATTTTATAATAAATCTTCATGTACCTATCATAAAACTCCAATTATCAATGTATGGCCAATCTTATTTAATCAATATTGTTGCACACATTGTTTATGTTAATTTTATGGGCTTATAACTTATATTCACACAGCATATGCTTAATATTTGTATCTTTATAAATGGTTTGATATTCTTACATGTTTATAAATGTTTTACCCATTCTTGTGAATCTTAAATAGTTAAAAAACACACACACAACAGTATGAACACTGGCGTTTGTTATTACATTTTGTAGAAGTATAGCAAGTGGGGCCCAAGCTCTCTGCCAACTCAGCTCAGTCCTCTTCAGCACAGTCACAATGTCTTCATTACCTTTACATCACAACTTTTATACTAAAATCTTTATTCCTAAATCTCAACCACCTTCTCTCCTTAGTCCTAAACATATTTTTTCACTGGAAACTTTTATTTTAAAGCATTTTTAAAAAAGTATTAGCAGGGAACCACATATATTGTAGTTTATAAATTTTACCATTATAAAATGTATGCAGATTATAAAATAAAACCAAAATAAGGAAATAAAAGTGTGAGGGAATTTATTGGAGTTAGTGGTATTGTGCCATCTCCTAATTTTTCAGAACATAGTACCTACCATGTTTAGCCTCCAGCACCTTATTAATGATGTTACTGAGGTCAAGAACTTCAGAAGCCGCAGGGATTGAGAAGGGAACATCGTCTATCGCATAGCTACGAAACAAAAACGAAACATCAAGATTATGTCCACAGATCATTTTAACAAATGTGCATTTATTCGTTCAACAAACATTCCCTGGGTGTCTCCTATTATACATGTCAGACATTTTGCTACATGGGATTGACAAAATTAATTACCAGGTTAGCTCCTAACGCTCCCATACACACTGTAAGGCAGGATATAATTAGGTTTCAAATGAATGGTATAGACCCGGGGACTGTTGTTAAAAATGTTTAATATATACACACGTATGTATATACACATATAAATATATGTATATAAATCCAAAAATCTGTAACTGACTTCACACTCTTATAAAAGAAAGTCTTACCAACTCCCTCTTCAGAGCTCCCCTTTCTAGCCTGGTTTTAGGAAAACAGAATCTACCACCTACTTAAAAAAAAAAAAAAATGAAGTTGTGTTTTCAGAAACTGAAGCATGGCGAGCAGCCAGCCTGCCACGGCGTGGTTCCCTGTGCAACGGCCGGTGTGCCTCCTCCTGAGCCTCCAGTCCCCGTTTGAACGGCAGGGAGGCTGCCACCGGGGTCGGCCCCGAGGAAGGAATCCTCCAGAGGCGCCGCGGCCCGGCGAGGAGCCCGGCGAGGAGCCCGGCACAGACAGGCCGGGCAGGGGGTGCGAAAGCGAACGCGGCGAAGACGGGGACCCACCGGGTCGCCCCGGAGGAGCCCGGGAAGAGGATCCCTCCTGGAAGAGGATCCCTCCCGCAAGGGGCGAGGCGGGCGGCTTCGTACTTACTGCTGGTTGTCGGTGAAGAAGCGCGCCTGGAGCTGCGCCATGGCGGGGTGCACACCTCGCTTGCCCACAGGAACGTGCGGGTCCCGGCCAGACGAGCCCCTCCGCGGAGCTCTGGTCCCTGAGGGTCACAGGAAGGGGCAGCGCACCCTCAGACGGCGCCGGGGCCGGACCCGCTCCCTCCGCTCCGGCCGCCAGCCAGCCAGCCAGCCGCCAGACCACGCGGCTGCCGGCCGGAGCCCAGCCCGCACGCATCGACTGCCTATCCCCAGATCAGGCGTCATCGATCAGGACGGCGGAGCGTCGCTTTAGTCTGTGTGGACGTCTTTTCATGGACTTGGGCCCGTGATCGAGTAGGAAGACACAGAAAGGCCCTCTCTCGCCTTCTCTTTTATTATAAAATTATATAATAGCGTGTCTTTAGATCCGATGTTTCAAACGGGTCCTAGATACTACAACTCCCAGAAAGCAGCGCTTCTCACACGCTGTAACCGCTGGGAATTGTAGTTTTTATTTTCTTGGGGGGGGGGCCCACCTTGCCCTCAGGATATCTTATTTGCATAATGAGATTACTTAAGTATTTTTATTTTTTGTCTGGAATGCTTTTCCCCTTTTTTCTCATTTTTATTAAACCATCCCAACTCCAACCAGATATTTATTATATTTCCTCTTTATCCCCCCCCCTTTAATTTACTAAAGCCGTTCTCCGTTTTTTTGATCACGCACACTCACAAGCAGAGTCACTCTGCCGAGATTATCTGTGGGCGCTCGCCTCCAGCTTCACGTTTTAAATCCAGATGAGAAGGAAATTTAAAAGAAATAAATAAAAGAACGCAGAGTGGGAACCGACGACGGTGGCCGGTAGCGGCCTCATCTCCTGCCCGCGCTGCGCGCGCCGGGAGGGGATGCGCCTGCGCACTGTGCCGGTCTCCATGGCGGGGCCTCGGAGCCAAGACGAGGTTGAGTAGACTCGTTTTGAATTTTCTCCCCTCTGCTCCGGCACTCTGTGGACTCCCTCCTCGCCCCGTAGAGCTCCCGGCGGCGGCGGGCCTGGGGGGGGGGTGGAGGTTTGGGGAGCTGTCTGCGCGGATGGACCGGACGCTGCTCCCCCCCCCCCCCTTCCTCCCGCCGCCGCCGCCGCCGCCGCCTCCCATCACCTCCCGACCCTCCCGGTCCCTAAGCAACCGCCGCCCCCGCCCTCGCCGCCGCCGCCGCCACCGGACCTCGGCGCGACCGCCGGACCGGCTCGGGGCCTTTCCGGGGCCTTACACGGCCAGGCCTCCCGGGGAGACCGCTGGGAAGGGGGTTCGGCGGCCGGAGGGGGTCGCGGAGCCGGGACTGCGGCCGCCGGAGAAGGACCGGCCCCTGGGCGGGAGCACCCGTGGGTGTGTGTGGCCCTCCCGCAGCCCCCGGCCCCGGATTTTAGGGTTTGGGGTGTTGTTTCCCCCCTCCCCTTTTTTTGTGGGCCCCTTTATATCTCATATTTAGAAAGGTAAAGGCGTATTCCACACCACCTCCTCCGCTGTTTTTATTTTGGGGTCTAAGTTACCGAAAAGGCTCGTGTCTTATGGTCAGTGACCGGGAACTATTCTAATGCAATGTGGTTGTTGTTGGAGGATGGATGGAGAGAGAACCGTACGATTTCAGATTTCGCTCACTTTTTAAGGCGTTTGTCTGGGAAGCTCCCAGCTTCGAGAATCGGGCAGAGCTGCATTGCAAAAACTGGTCGGGGGGCCGCGGTGTGTGCACAGGCGAAGACAACTCACGTTCCTTACGGATGCACTTCAATTAGACAGGCACCCGATGTTTCAGGCACTCGCGGGCCATGAGGAGTGATTGTAAGCGGAAACCAGCCTTTGATTGGGGAGCAGGGACGGCGAAAGCGGACTGTTTTTTTTCCGTTTTTAGAACTCGGCCCGGGAACCCCGCGCCCGCGTTCTAATACCGCCCGGGCAGAAGCAGGCTGACAGCTGTGCCATGCCCACACCCTGCATGCCAGTTCCTTACACACGGCTGTCCGCCTCCCGGTGCTCGCCCCTGTGTGCATTAACCTCGGTGCCACACACTGGGGTCGGCTGCAGGAGCTCAGTGCGCCTGGTAAACGTGAGCCGCGATCACAGCCACGACCGTTTAGATGTCCTTTACGTGGACAAATAAGAACCGCCTCATGGTAAGAGGAATAGAACAAAACCTCTTATGCTGAAGTCCCAGCAAAGGACCGGGCTGGCAAATAAAGCGGTGGCCAGTCAATCATGTGGCTCCTTGTACTGGTGAGAATGGCATTCATTAAAGGAGTTAGACCACCTGAGGCTTGGAACAGTTGCTTACTTGAGGTCTCCCTGTTTTTAATTCATTAATTTGGATTTAGAATTGGGTAGAAATTTGACAGTTTTAAACATCATTCTTCTTTAACCACTAGTGATTTTTTTTTTTTTTAGTTACAGCAGTTCAAATTACCTGCATTCAATGTCATTGAACCGCAAATCTTCAAAAAAGTTACTTTTCAGATAATTTTAAAATTATTGATAATATTGCTCAAAATATCTTTATAAAAGTGTAGATTAGTACATTTTAATGTATCATTGATTTGAAATCTATCAAAATAAAAAAAAAATACAGTTCCTGGTAAGAATCAATATAGATTGCTCTTAATTCGAATTGAAAAATACCAGTAAGCCCAGATGGCATAGCTTATTGTTCAAAAACTTTTGAACAATTTTTGAGCGTTGACCTATGTATGAACCAGGAGGTCATGGTTTGATTCTGGTCAAGAGCACACGCCTGGGTTGTGGGCTCAATCCCCAGTAGGGGGCGTTAGGGTTCCCTCTCATCATTGATGTTTCTCTCTCTCCTCTCCCTTCCTCTCTGAAATCAATAATAAAAAAAAAAATTTTTTTTAAGGAAAAATAAGATTCAGTAAGATCCAAAACCTGAAGGCTTAATGAGATAAAACTTTAATTGTCAATGCAGAAATACAGAATTCACTAAAATACATTTTTTCATTTGACAGAACTTTAGTTAAGGAAAAACTTGTTAATAAATATTCCAAAATAAGTAAACACCTGGTATGATGGCTTTCGTATGTTTTCAGCAGCGACATGTCTTATATTTGGTGGTGTCTCCATGCGATACCTAAGGTAGTGTTTTTTCTATGAGTGTTTTCCTTAAGTTTACTTAGAATATTAACTGAAAGTTTTTGGTTCTTAATGATTTCCTACATGATTCATTTACTGAGGTCTTCATGAAGACACATTGTTATTTGGAGAACAACAGCTGGGAATATGTGTGTGTGTGTGTTTTATTATTATAGGGTTGTTGTTGTTGTTTTTTAATATATATATATGATGATATGATGTGGTATGGCATAAAGACAATTAGGGCAGTGGCCGGCAAACTCATTAGTCAACGGAGCCAAATATCAACAGTACAACGATTGAAATTTCTTTTGAGAACCGAAAACCGACTTCTGTGCATGGACCACGAAGTTTCAATCGCACTGTACGTGCGTGCCCACATATGATATTTTGTGGAAGAGCCACACTCAAGGGGCCAAAGAGCCGCATGTGGCTCGCGAGCCACAGTTTGCTGACCACTGAATTAGAGCATTGGAGTCCAAATTGTTCTGGGTTTTTATTTTTTTTCTCTTAGTTTTGAATCAACTCTGATGCTCTGTGATCTAAGGAAGTTGCAAGAGCAAAGGTAGAAAGGTGTGTATATACAGGAAATGGATAGAAACCAAGATTACAAGAAATTTATAGGAAGGACAAATCTTAGAGAAAAGAAACACTGAATACTAGCCTTAAATTTGTTTTTTTTTCACTGAAAAAAGTTAAAGTAGGTTATGGTTTCTATGTAAATTTTCATACACTTAAATTTTGATGTTGATTTAGCATGCTATAACTTTCTCCCACCTTTAAAAAAAATTATTCTACAAAATATTTGTGAACTAGTAGTCTTGATTTAATTTTGACACTACTGATTCATATTAATTTTTTATAGATCCTAAAAATTATATTATGTCATTTACCTACCCTAAAAGATGAAAGATATTTTCTAAAATAATTTTGAGCGATATTTTGAAAATGTAGTTAATAAGATCTGATACTGATATTGAATAGCTTTCAAACGCCTTTAAATCTTGAGAATAATCAAGGTACAGAGATAATATTAAAAGAAACTCTTAAGAGTAAACCTCAAGTGACTTTATTCCTTATCTGACCTCTTTGGGGATTTATTTCAGATTGTTGGTTTTAATGGATAAATTTACACAAAAGTTTATGGGGGGGGGGGAACCCATAATAATTTGATATAAAGACAGATTTTTAGAAATTGCAGCTGAGAACTGCCACTAAATTTTTGACCAAATAGAAATACAGTTGAGTACAATCAAAACAGCAGAGCCCAAGCATGGCCCACAGAGATATGAGTGACTGCGGCCTGAATAGTCTCTTCCCCTCTGCCATGTATGAAATATGTATAAGCAATAACAAGCCCCCTTCCCTATAAATTAAAGCAACTTCTAACTTAACACTTTCTTCCCAATCTTTGCTTTTGCAGTAAGGTTCAGTCCACTTTTTTAATGTAATGTGAAACATTCTAGAAAGCAATTTCCCAGCAAAATTTAATGCCTTAGTTTGTGTTCTGAAGTCCAGACATTAACTGTATAGAGTATATATTTAGTACTTTCTCCTTTCTGTACTCTTATCCAAGCCCAATACTACTTGATTAAGAAATAAGCTTGTTGCCGAAACCGGTTTGGCTCAGTGGATAGAGCGTCAGCCTGTGAACTGAAGGGTCCCAGGTTCGATTCCGGTCAAGGGCATGTACCTTGGTTGTGGGCACATCCCCCCCAGTAGGGGGGTGTGCAGGAGGCAGCTGATCGATGTTTCTCTCTCATGTTTCTAACTCTCTCTCCCTTCCTCTCTGTAAAAAATCAATAAAATATATTAAAAAAGAAAAAAAGAAATAAGCTTGTCAAATCAATTCCAGGATATTATTGGGAGTAGGTAGGGGGAGGAGAGCTTTGTTCTGAAGTTTCTATAGC